GATTGTGCTTTTGTTATTATATTTGAAAATTCATCACCAAACCCAAAGTCACCTTGATTTTCTCTTACGTTATCTTTTACAAGTTTTGTAGTCTTGTAGTTTTGCCTTTTACATTTAGATGTATGATCCATTTTTTAGTTAATTTTGGTGAAATTTGTGAGGCCTGCATCTAGATTCATTTTTTTGCACGTGAGTATCCACTGCTGTCCTTTCTCCACGGAATCGCCTTTACTCCTTCGTCAGCTGACAGTGGGGTGGGCCTATTTCTGGGCGCTCTGTTCTGTTCCACTGATCTGTCTGTTCTGTTACCAATACCACACTGTCTTGATTACTGTAGCTTTATAGTAAGTCTAAAAGTCTTATAGTATCAGTCCTCTGACTTTGTTCTTCTTCTTCAGTATTGCTGTTCTGGGTCTTTTGCCTTTTGATATACACTTTGGCATCAGTTTGTTGATACCCACAAAATAACTTGCTGGGATTTTATCGGGACTGTGTTGAATCTATAGAACAAGTTGGGAAGAACTGACATCTTCACAATATTGAGTCTTCCTATCTATATCGTATCCCATGGGATAGTCTTCCTATCCTGTATATCCTCTATGGGATAACTCCTCATCAAGTCTTCTTTGATTTCTTTTATCAGAGTTTTCTAGTTTCTCTCATATAGATTTTGTATATATTTTGTTATATTTATACCTAAGTATTTCATTTTTTAGTGTTAATGCAAATAGTGTTGTATTTTTTGATTTCAAGTTCTAATTGTTCATTGCTGGTATATAGGAATACAATTGACTTTTTTTTTTTTGCCTTTTCTTGTCTTTTTATGTAAGTGAGGTCATATAATATTTGTCCTTTTGTGATTGGTGTAATGTCTCCAAGCTCCATCCATACTGTAACATGTATCAAGACTTCATTTTTCCTATTGGCTAAGTAGTATTCCATTGTATGTATGTACCATGTTTTGTTCATCCACTCATCTGTTGTTGGGCATTTAGGTTGTTTCCACCTTTTGGCTATTGTGAATAGTGCTGCAATGAACGTTGGTGTGCATGCCTCTTTCTGAGTCTCTGCTTTCAAGTCTTTTGGGTATATACCTAGGAGTGGAATTGCTGGGTCATATGGTAGTTCTATTTTTAGTTTTTTGAGGAACCATCACACTGTTTTCCACAATGGCTGCACCATTTTGCACAATGGGCAAGGGTTCCAGTTTTCTCACATCCTCGCCAATATTTGTTATTTTCTTTCTTTTATTTTAATCTTAGCCATCCTTGTTGTTGTTGTTAGGTGCTGTTGAGCGGGTTCCAACTCATAGCGACCCTATGTATAACAGAACGAAACACTGCCCGGTCCTGCACCATCCTCACAATCCGTTGTTATGCTTGAGCCCATTGTTGCAGCCACTGTGTCAGTCCGTCTCGTCTAGACTCTTCCTCTTTTTCGCTGACCCTCTATTTTGCCAAGCATGATGTCCTTTCCAAGTGACTGGTCCCTCCTGATAACATGTCCAAAGTTTGTGAGACATGGTCTCTCCTTCTTCACTTCTAAGGAGCATTCAGGCAGTGCTTCTTGCAAGACAGATTTGTTCATTCTTTTGGCAGTCCATGGTATAGTCAATACTTCGCCAACATCACAATTCAAAAGCATCGATTCTTTTTTGGTCTTCCTTATTCATTGTCCAGCTTTCGCATGCATGTGAGGCAATCAAAAACACCGTGGCTTGGGTCAGGTGCACCTTACTCCTCACAATGACGTCTTTGTTTTTCAACATTTTAAATAGATCTTTTGCAGCAGATTTACCCAACGCGTTGTTTGATTTCTTAACTGCTGCTTCCATGGGCATTGATTGTGGATCCAAGTAAAATGAAATCTTTGAAACAACTTCAATCTTTTCTTCATTTATCACGATGTTGTTTGTTGGTCCAGTTGTGAGGATTTTTGTTTTCTTTATGTTGAGGTGTAATCCATACTGAAGGCTGTGGTCTTTGATCTTCATCAGTAAGTGCTTCAAGTCCTCTTCACTTTCAGCAAGCAAGGCTGTGTCATCTGCATAACACAGGTTGTTAATGAGTCTTCCTCCATCCTGGTGGGAGTGAAATGGTATCTCATTGTAGTTTTGATTTGCATCTCTCTGATGGCTAATGATGCTGAGCATCTTTTCTTGTGTCTGGTGGCCATTTGAATGTCCTCTTTGGTGAAATGTCTCTTCAAGTCCTTTGCCCATTTTATGATTGGGTTATTTGTCTTTTTGTTGTTAAGTTGTTGAAGTTTTATATATATTTTGGTTATTAGAGTCTTACCATGTATATGGTTCTGAGGGTATTCTCTCAGTCAGTAGCTTGTCTTTTGAGTTTTTTGGTAAAGTTTTTTGTTGAACAAAAGTTTTTAATTTTTATGAGGTCCCATTTATTTATTTTGTCTTTTGCTGTTTGTGCTTTTGTTATTATATTAGACAATCCATTGCTGAAAACTAGACATGATAGCATTGCCCCTGCTTGGTTTCTAAGAATTGTATGGTTTTAGTTTTCACATTTAGGTCCTTGAACCATTTTGAATTTGGTTTTGTGTAGGGCCTGAGACCTGGATCCTGATTCATTCTTCTGCAGTGGAAATCCAATTTTTCCAGCACCATTTATTGAAGAGACTCTTCTTTCCCCATTGAATGGACTTAGCACCCTTGTCAAAAATCAATTGGCCATATATGTGTGGGTTTATTTCTGGACTCTAATTCTATTCCATTGGTCTATTTGTCTGTTGTTACACCAGTACCAGGCTGTTTTGGTTCCTGTAGCTGTATAACCAAAAAATGAATCCTGTTGCCATTGAGTCGATTCTGACTCATAGCGACCCTATAGGATAGAGTAGAACTGCTCCATAGAGTTTCCAAGGAGCACCTGGTAGATTTGAACTGCTGACCTTTTGGTTAGCAGCCATATCTCTTAACCACTATGCCACCAGGGTTTACTGTATTATATGTTTTAAAGTCAGGAAGTATGAGCCCTCCTACTTTGTTCTTCTCTTTCAACATTATTTTAGCTATTCGGGGCCTCTTGCCATTCCATATAAAGTTGAGGGTTGGTCTTTCTATTTCTGTAAAGAAGGCTGTTGGAATTTTGATCAGGATTGTGTTGAATCTAAAAATCACTTTGGGTAGTATTGATATCTTAACAATATTAAGTCTTCCAATCCATGAACATGGGACATCTTTCCATTTATTTGAATCTTCTTTAATCTCTTTTAGCAGTGTTTTATAGTTTTCATTGTATAAGTCCTTCATGTCTCTGGTTAGATTTATTCCTCGATATTTTATTCTCTTAGATGCTATTGTAAATAGAATTGTTTCCCTAATTTCCCTTTCAGGATTCTCATTGCTGGTATATAGAAACCCAACTGATTTTTGGTTGTTGACCTTGTACCCTGCAACTTTGCTAAATTCCTCTATTAGTTCTAGAAGTTTTTTTTGTGGGCTCTGGGATTTTCTATATGTGGGATCATATCATCCGTGAATAGAGATAATTTTACTTCTTTTCCAATCTGGTTACCTTTTATTTCTTTTTCTTGTCTTATCACTCTAGCTAGGACTTCTAATACAATATTGAATAGAAGTGGTAAGAGCAGGCACCCTTGTCTTATTTCCAATTCCAAGGGGAAAGCTCTCAGTCTTTCTCCATTAAGTATAATGTTAGCTGTTGGCTTTTCATATATATGCCCTGAATCATACTGAGGAATTTCCCTTTTATTCCAGTCTTCTTTAGGGTTCTCATCAAGAAAAGGTGTTGGATCTTATCAAATGCTTTTTCTGCACCCATAGAGTTGATCATGTGGTTCTTTTCCTTTGTTCTATTGATGTGGTACATTATGTTGATCGATTTTCTAATGTGGAACTATTTCTCCATTCCTGGAATAAATCCCACTTGGTCATGGTGTATGACTCTTTTAATATGCTGTTGGATTCTGTTTGCTAGTATTTTTTTGAGGATTTTTGTATCTTTGTTCCTAAGAGATATTGGCCTGTAGTTTTATTTTCTTGTGGTGCCTTTGTCTGGTTTGGGTATCAGGGTTCTGTTTGCTTCATGGAATGAATTAGGGAGTATTCCTTCCTTCTCTGTCTTTTTAGACAATCTCTCTCCATATAATCTAGTGGAGTAAAGAGATACAAAACAACCTGATAAGACAGTGACCAAGGAATACGTGCATGACTAACACAGCAAGGTGAGCCACTGAGTAGGATAAGGGTCAGAGCACCTACTGTGTGCCAGGTACTTCACTAGATGCTAAGGCTACTGCAGTGAACAAACCAGAAAAAAACCGTCCCCATGGAATGCACAGTAGAGACCTGAATCAAATACCCACAGATGAATGTTCATCACAAACTGTGAAGGATAAGTATAGGAACCCATGAGAGCCTATGATGTGGAGCCTGATCTAATCTGGAGGTCAAATTAGGCCTCCCTAAGCAGAGGACTTTGAGCTGAGATCAGAAGATGAGCAACCAGTCAAAGAGATAGGGAAGAATGTTCTAGGCAGAAGGACTAGCAGGTAGAGAATGAATTGGAGGTGGGGAAGACTAGAACCTGGGTGACCATCTCTGCCTATGATAAGAAAAGGTAAATTTTCAATTTTGGACCTGTTGAGTGTGATGTAGACATTAGGATTCCAAAAGTGTGGGGACTTTTGGTCTGTTGTGTTCATACTGGCCTTCAACACATAAGACAGTGCCTGACATATAGTGAATTCTCAATAAATATGTGTTGAATGGATGTATCTCCTCACTGTTACCTCCAGCTGGTATTGTGTCCATTTGCTCAATAGTTGTCCTTTCTACTCCCAGGGAGGCAGGAAAGAGTAGGACAGTGAAATTCACATTTATCATCAGTGCTACTTGTTAGTAAATTTGGATTTGGTATGCTAAGAAAGTAGAATATCATAGTTTTACAGTCTTTAGATTCTGGCCTTCCATTCCTGAAAACTTACCATACTGGATACCGTGTGTTGTTTTGTAGCACGGCCACCTCCACTGGACCTGAGAAACCTCTCCACCATCCGGGAGCATGCGTCTCTAACCAGGACCCTCACTGTGCCTTGGTAAGTCTTTGATAACTCACAAGGACCTCATCAGCACAAACGATGTCCTGTCTTCATTAGGCCTCTTTGAGTAAATGTAGTCAAGGCCCACTTGAGCTAGCTTAAGCTAAAGGAGGGGCAGGTTTTATTTTCAAGAGCCAGAGGTGTTTATAGACCACAAAGGAAGGAATGTAACTGAGTCTGCTGGGCTACTGGAGCCAGGAACTCGAGTGCTGCTGGGAACCTAAGAAATTCTCTCTCTCCATCTCTCAAGTCTGCTCCTCTCTTTACTTTTACTCATTTCTCTTTCTTCGCAGAACTCTTTTCTCTGTTCCATAATCCTCATGACCAAAGATAGCTGAACTGTAGCTCCTGAGATATTTACATGTTACAATTCCAGAACCCACAGAGATGTGCTCTTTTTTGGCCCCAGTTCCGATTTCCTGGGAGAGAAAATTGTATTGTCCCAACCTGAGTTTCATCAGCTATGGCCCCGGGGGTGGGGTCAGTAGTGTCAACATGGCTTCCAGAAGCCCAGCCTTGTAAACAGGTAGGGGAAGGGAGTTCTCAAAAAGGAGAGATGGTTCATGAGCTGGGTAGCTAGATACCCTAAAATGTGTCTACATTCTCTCATCTCACTTTTTAGAAGTTGTATTTTCAGAGTTCTGAGCCTAGCATGGGAGATTCTTGGTTCAGTCTAAATGTCACTGAACACAATCACTTTCTAAATTGGAATTCTTCAATGAGCTGTATTTCCAGCCAAGACTTCGGAAAGTCTCAGCCGGTGCTTCTGACTCCGGAGTAGGATGGAAGTCTATTTGGAGTCTTGTCCTTGTACTGTGAGAGGAACCATCACACTGGGTTTCCCTACTTTTCCTGCTTACTTTGAATGGAAACAAGAGAGCCTCAAAGGAGCATCTTTTGCTAAATTATTTGATGCCTTGGTATGTTTCTAGAAATCTCATGAGTTGTGTCAAATGTAGGCCCTGGAGAAAAGCAGCTTTTGAGAATCGGGAGCCATTTGTCCCAGAGTGCAACAGAAGCTGCTGGGTAGTCTTTGCTGCTCAGGAATTGCTTTGGCCGGAAGGAAGTTGTGTCTTGAAGAGGAGGGCTGAAACCCCCTGGGGGCCATGTCAGTTCCTGGCTGGCTTTCAGAACAGCTGTAAGACATTGCTTTGACCTCATCTGTATTTTTGTTCTCAGCAATAGAACCAGCTTTCTCTCTCCAGAAAGAAATGGTATTAATTCTACAAGATTTTTTGCCAATCCTGTTTCCAGAGAAGAGGAAGAAACCTACATCCAAATGGTAATTCTATATTTTGCACACTGTTTCTATTCTTCATCCCAATATATACTTTTATAAGTTTATTTTAAAGGAAACATACCCTTAAGAAAGCCCTGTGCAGTCTGAAAACAATCATTTGATTGTAAAACCAGATCACAAGGTTTTCTAGACTGGTAAAAAATTGGTTTGAAGCTGGTTTTCTTTCCTGCAATATTCAACTCCTCATGCCATTTTGAAGCCACAGTATTTCAAGAAAACCCAAGGCTGAGGCATGCGTAATGGGAAAATGGAAATGTCAGTAATTCTTTTCACTGGCGCTGTGATGTCCTGTTTGACCCCAGTAGGTGTGCAGTTCCCTGAATGTTCAGAGTCTAGGCTGTGAAAACACACATATTAGATGCCTCCCTTCCACCAGAGCACCACCTAATTTCCTAGTGACCCTGCCTTGACTAACTCTGGACTTTCGCGGAGGATGAATCACAGTCCTATGATGGGGGGAGGGGAAGAGTGGGTGAGCAGGTGGTGGTGGAATGGGAGGACCTCAGTGCCACGGGGCTTTGGAGACTCCTGTTATAGGGTCTTTCTGTAGACTTGAGTGGATAGAGACCTGACTTCTCTATCCTTTTGTTAACCATTTACAGTCCAAGAGCCCTAATCTCTCCCTCCTGCCTTCTGTTGTCCCTTCTGTTTTCTTCATCATGGATTCTATTGAGAGCGTGGGTTTTGAGGAGGAAGAGGGCTTTTAGCACCTCTGGCAGTTATCAGGCACTTTAGTTCTCTAGGGTCGCTGTGAGTCAGAATCAACTCAGTGGCAGCAGGTTTGGTTTTTTTGGTTAGTTAGAACTACCCATTCTGCAGTTTAGAAATGTAGGGAACTCTAGAGAGAGCTTTCATTCGAACTATAAAGTTTTGAAAAGAGAGCTTAGAAGGACAAAGTGCAAGGCACTGAGAAGATCATTCTCCCCTCCTCTACATGCAGATAATAGGCAATTGGAAATATCAAAATGGCAATTCCTCATGAAGCAATAAGAAAATGCTTCATTTTCCTTTTTATTTCCTAAAAATTGTGCTGTAAGTGTACTTAACCATATGCAGATGGGAAATGACTCATATACAAATCTGCTGTGGTCTTCCCAATGTTTCTCACACTTAGTAATGGCCCTTGGGAAACTTCTAGAAGAAAGCACTCATAAAGGCTGTTGAACAGCTGTGCTCTGTCTCCAGAGAACAGAAAAGGGAAGTAAATCTAAAACCTAATGGAAGCAAATGCAGAGTCATCCAGATCCCAACAGTTCATTTCTGACTTTGAGGTTGTGAGAAAGACTAATGCTTCATTAA